TAAAGGGTAAATAACTAGGAACCGCATCAATTTATCGGCTGGGGTTAGTTTTAGGGGATTGCCACGATCACAGTGGTTTATGTGAACCATTAATTTTCATTGATAAAACTGACTGTCGTACTGAATTCAGGTCAGCTTTATTGTTGTTCGAATGGAAAATGCCTTCGTTTGTTTTGTGGAGTTTATTTATCAGCAAACGTTTACTTGATTGATTTTAGAATTTGGACTTGATGGAAAATGCCCTTGATTGGTTTTGACGTGGTGTTTGTGTACTATAGTCAATTTTTGGAAAGTTATTTGTCTATTCTACTAATATAATAAATGTTACAGTCATCTGTATGTGTAAATATGTAATAATAAATAGTAAATATGACATCCTGTCCATCATGGGGGATGTCATATTTGTCTGTTAATAAGTCGCATTGGGATGACTAAATGGGCATATGTATATGTATGAAAAAGAGATAGAACAATACAAAGGCTAACTTCTCTTAATAATAATACGCGAAAGAATTATTATAGAAGTTAGTTTGTTATAGTAAAACTACAAAGTTCATGCTGCTATTAAGAAATTCGGTAATCCAAAATCCCAAGAGTAATTTCATCGACACGGCAATTACAACCTTTCTGGGTACATTATCAGAAGTCCGTTTACGAGGCAGTTAATCAACAGCTACATTTATCAGGAGACAAAATAATGTCCCCAAGGACGGAAGGTAGATAGAGGTTACAGAGGTTCACATACATATTATATGCCAGTGTACAATTTTGCTGTCTTATGTGATGGAAGACAAACTTATTGCTGTACACAAGGTTCATTAGCAGTTTGCTGTTTAAATAACTTTTCATATATTAAAAAGATCAATAATACTTTATCAGCTTGGTAATTATTCGTTATTGTCAGCAGCGAGATCACGTACACTGCTGAATATATCCTTTCCCTTTAGAAGGGATTTGCCACAAATCCCTACGTTTTACAGGCGACTTAGAAAACGTAGGTTTTAACTGATTAAGAGAGTACTCTTATCCTGCTCTTTGGGTTGCTTCTGAAATATCTGTTCTATGGACTCTGGCCTCCAGATAATATTTATACCCCCAATGACTTCCAGATCACCCAGCTGAAAGCTATCTCAGATAGTATTTACCCAGTAAATATCTTCATGATACATTATATTTACTTGTACTACCTAAAATAACATTCATAATAAATTCCAAATGTGTTTTCGGTAGGCTCGCCTTAATTCAATTCCCTTCTACGTTAATGAGGGTAAGTTGGGAAGGACCGATGTTTTTCCTATGACCAAGTTGAGCGCGGAACTTGTAGTGTTTACTGATTAGTAGACTGTTTGTTTGTTTGTCATGATAGAGAATTATATGGGGGCTTGGTTAATAGTCTATTTTAGATGTTTAGTTGTGATAGAAGTTAATTGCAGTTGCTCTGATTGTGTAATCTTGTGTATCAAAAACTTGTTGATAAAAAAAATGTGCGAGATCTATTACTTTTCAAAATCTGTGTTTGCCAATAGCGGTCTGTACATGGGTTTCAACAGTACTTGGAAGATCGTAGTGTGTGAATATTTATAACAGTCGAAATGGGCAGACACGAGCCCTAAATATTTGATAAAGAGAGTAATTGAGAATGTAGAAGGATCCTAAATTGTTTATGAACTTTAGGAGAATAGATAACCAAAATATTGTACCTTTTAAAATATTTCACTCTCGAATTTATCATATTGGCAACGGTGTGCGCTGTGTTCGAAATCGGTGTCCAATAAACACATTATGTCCGTTCATTAACAAAACCAATCACAATAAGAATATTACCATGCTTTCTTTTACTTAAATTAAAGAAGACATGACGTGAACGGCCTCTGCGAATGCTAAGTCACCTTCGGGTGAAATTGGCCGTGGTATCGCGTGTCAGCCAGGAGTTTGGGTCAGTTATTTCTGTTAGAAATTGTATATGGACTTGATTAAAAATATAGACTACGGTCATTTCGTGCCTAGGTTTATATAGAAAAAATTGGGGACGAAGATTTATTATTACAGTTTTATGCTGATGTCAGTGTTGAAGGTGTTTTTTGTTATGAATTATTTTATGTAGGAGTGTTTGTAGAATGTTAGCGAAATGTAGCTTATTTTCTTTAAACAAATTATACTTGACGAACATAGAATGGTGCTCCTACCATGACGGATCATTAGCAGAAGAATCCCAAACTTACCAAGCACATAAAAAGAGAGAGGTTCCTGTGGACTTTACAGAATCGGATATTAGGATACCATCAGACAAACCTTTCTTATTATTTACTAGCGACCCGCCCCGGCCTCGCACGGGTGCAATATGCATGTATTATACATAAACCTTCCTCAAGAATCACTCTATCTATTAAAACAAACCGCATCAAAATTGTTGCGTAGTTTTAAAGATCTAAGCATACATAGGGACAGACAAACGGCGGACGGCGAATTTGTTTTATACTATCTACTAGTGATCCTACAGCTGTTCAGTAGCCGTTCTGTTCATACTGTGTATTAAAATATTCTACTTTATTAAAGCTTCCTCGCCAAAAATGCCGGAAAAACAATACAATTTTCACCATCTGCATTACCATTATCATGGATCTAACTAATCATACCATCCGATACCTTATCAATATCACCGCAGTGTTGTCATAGTTCTATAGAAACTGTGACGTCACGATGCGGATTCGAGATGCTGACGACTTGTGGGAACGTTTCCAAGTCGTGTTGACAGATGTATGCTGTTGTATGAGTACTTATCCTTGAAAATTTACTATGTAATACTTCAGTTGTCTAAGATAAAAAGAGGTTTTTATGTCGATATGAGATCATCACCATCATTATTTCAGGCAGTACTCCCTATTTTTCTGCTTTCTTAGGGGTATTGTATCTCTTATCCAGATGGATGGAGGGCAATCGATTTTTTAAGCTGTAAAAGTATTGTAGTCCATCAGTTTTTAGCGCTAAAATATGGTAGGTAGTATAAAAAATTAAGAACTAAGATCGGTTCAAAAATCCATTCGGAGATCTCCATAGTTCGAATACTGTGAGGTCAATTTATAGTAATCGTATAAAAAGCTAGAAAACTTTACTGGGGTTCAGCAAGACGTTTAATATAAAAGTACTTAGTCCAATTTCTTTACATGAAAATCCAGTTTGTATATTAAAAAATCCTTTTACTTTTTTCATAAAGGTTATATAATATCTTAGACCCTAATCGCCTTAAACCTCTACAAAGAAATACCTCTTTTCAATATGAAAGTATAAAAAAAAACATTATCCCTCCTTTCTTGGTACTAGGTGGCAATTTATTTTAATTATAGTCAGCTCTTTCTTTGCTTAGTTTTATCCTGGATTTAGATCTAGCAACAGTCTAATCGGATTATGTATGACGTAAGTTAATGATTCTATTCAAGCGAGTTTTTCTGGAAAATTCCTTTTAGCTGTACCAGGCCTGTCTGAAGCAATTCTTTTTTTCTTAAAATATGGGTAAATATGTATCGATAAGTACTTACTTACTTACATTGTCATGTTTTTTGGCGACTGTCGCTCTGCTACAGCAGCAGTCGCCGCGTCATGGGTCGCGGAATGCTGCTCATGAATATAAATCTCTAGAATAGCTTGAAACTAGTCGAGTTTCTCGTCAAGTTTTTTTATTAAACTGTCAAACACCAAGCGGTCACCGGTGACCGCAACCTATTGTTCTATAATTGTGTCTACAAAACCGGTACTCGACGAGTTAATGTTAATCATAAGGTTTTATATTAAGTGACAACATTATCGCATTGGGTGTAACCTGTTAGGATGTGTTGAATTAAATAAAATAAATAAATAATTACGTGAATAAACCGAAAAACATACAAATTAATTTAATATGTCTCACGAAAGATATAATAATACTTATAATACAAATTAATAGCCTAACTATATACTAAATTGATTCATAAACGTAAAAGGGTTAGGCATATTTTCGTTATCATATCTTTTGGTAAAAGATTTAAAAGCTTTCTTTTGTTGCTTTGCCAAAATCTAAAGTAAAATGTAAGCAATTCCTATGAGACGCATACATTTTATTTAGGCTTTTCTCTGAATACCTATTACTATTTATAGACATCAGAAAGAGCTATCGTAAAACTATTCATATATTTTGATTTTCGGTTAGTTTTTGTGTCTTTGTCAATATTTGTTTAGGGAAGACGTGTTTTATCAATGTCATTTCATCGTAACTAGAAAATAATATTCACAACGTTTTATATACCTTCATAACTATATAAATTATGTTAGGATATTAAATTAATTGAAATATACGGCGTACTCACGTGTACTATTCGAGTAAAGTTCAACTTCTTTCAAGCTAAACCGGGACTCTTATTAATTATTGTTAGAATATTTTGGCTTTATTTAATTAATCTAATAACATTCCTTTCTATCCTTTTCATAATTCCATCCATTGTCATAATAGAATTTAGTGCCTTTCCTTTGCACCGTCTAATTTGTATTCTCCGAGCATACTGAATGAAGCATCCAGTTTGCCAATGCGCTATGAAACCTAATAGTAATATTAATGTTCTAATTATGTAGTACTCTATGCTTTCGTATGATGTAATATTGCAATAATGCCGATGACGTTGGACTTCCTACGTATTTTAATGGGACTTGTGGTCAATTTCAAATGTTGTAATAGTCAGAAACGAGATAAACTAAAATTGACATCTGAAATGTATGCACGCGCATAAGGAGTGAAGAACTGCACCAAAATATTAAGCTTTTGGGGTCCCGAAACCAGTAAAGCAGTGCCTTTATGGTCGAAATTCAACGATATCTTTTTGATTAAATAATGTATTAAATATAAAACTTGGTTAAGAGTTTTGGGAGACCATGACGAGGGTGTCCCTCACCACACGATTGTATCTTTTCATATTGAACTGTATTCACTTATTGAAGTTCTCAAACTAACAGAACATTCTCTTTGTCCACAGGAACACCATCTGCAGAGGGCGATATCAGGCACTGGTCTGATAATACCAACGCCTGAGGTATGCCAGGTCAGCGACCTAGACTTCTACGAACGATGCTACCCGCCCGATTACAAAATGCCCAAGCAACACATACACATGCAACGTAAGTTCAACAATATAATTTTGTCGTATAATGCACGAATTTTTCCCAACGTTATATTATGCAGCCATTTTGCGATGTTGTTTGATAGATTATGTTTTTTTTTTCGCTATCTTTTCGAGTGTTTACTGCGATCGTCTGTTTTTTATGCCACGGGACGACGTTTCACGTATTTTTATGTGTCCTTTATTTTATGAAGGAAGGTAATACATATTTTAAATTGCTTTTTAGTTATGTACAATTTAGTTTAAGTTGTTTTATATTTTCTTTTGTAAAATTCAGTAGAGGAATATCTTAGTCAACCTTTAAGTTGTACTATGACTCCGACGCTTCTATTTAGCGAGTGATTTTTTTATTGAAGACTAGCTGACCCGGCAAACTTCGTACCGCCTTAAAGTTTTTTCTCACCTTTTAAACCTTCCCTAGACTTCAACGAACCTATCAAGACCAACATTAGCCAAATCAGTTCAGCCGTTATCGAGTTTTAACGAGACTAACGAACAGAAATTCATTTTTATTTATATAGATAATTTAATATACTGTATTTATACGAGGTTATAGAGGTGTTACATTGTAGAGTGCATTAAGTGCCGTGATGTGCACCTCTGCTTACCCTTAAGCTAAGTTAAGGGAATCTTGATGACATTTTGGTTTTCACCGGCCTCTAAGTGACACCTAACAGTAGTACAATTCAGGGATAAGTTTAGGTGCGCTATCGTGTTTGTAACTCTTTAGTTAAGATATAGTTCAGGTGTGGTTGGCCAAATCGGCCATTAATTTGACTAGATTCTACAATTTCTACTACCTATTTTTATGAATAAATCATATCTATTGATGCTTTTAACCCCTGCAGTATTTTATCTACCTTTGTTTTACCTCTTCGTTCGTATAATTTAGCCATTTGATATTTTACATAAGGATTCAGAGTTATGAATGTTATGGTGTCAGTAAAAAGTATATTTTAGGCTATTACATTTTTCAGGTACGTTATGATTATGTATGGGAGAGTATGTGTTACTTATTGCTAGTTTACGTATTACTAAGCAGTTAAGCGCCGATTTTTCAATCATCAGTTAATTTTTAACTGTAGAATAAAATGAACATTTGATAGTTATTAAGTATGGAAGAATTGTCAAATGTTCAAAGAAAAATCGGCCTTAAGTCTGAGGAAAGTTAAGCGTTGTACTGTTTCTAACATACTTCTTAGAATCTTAAATATTCTATGATCGAGTTCCTTAACAAATAAACCAAACGTAACTTTACTAAATCACGCACATAACTTCAAATGTCTAACATAGCCACTATAACCTCCGTTCAATGAACGACATATATTCCACTAAATACATGAAACCCAGTATATTTAAGCTTATAAACCCTAAAAGCCATCAAACGGGTAATGTTCAGTAGCCACTATTTTCCCTTTCGAACTAAATTAACAAAGTCGATGACCCGTGAGGTCGTTTCTCTGTAAACTAACCGTTGCCTCTGATTCACGTCGGAGCCAGGACTGTTACGCATTTATGTAGTCTGAATGGCTTTATTTATACTATTTGGAGGTGTTTATGACTTCGAAATGGCAATAACTAGTATGGTTTCAGAAGGATCTGGAAAATATACTGTTTATAGTTTGTTAATTATTTATTGTTAAATATTATATTCATTTGTTAATTAGTTACGTATTAATACAGTGTTATTTATTTATTTATTTATTTGTTCATGTACACAACACAGACAATACACAGAAAAAAATATATATTATAACAAAACAGAGGTACATAGGTACTGCATATCCCTTATGGGATTTCTTCCTGCAGCCCTGCGAAAGGAGAAATAAATACAACATATGACACAGTGTGTAACAACCAAAAAAAAAACAAACAAGAAGAAGACAATGAAAACATTCCTATCTGTTAAGGTTCCTTTTCAGTTCTCCTACTTGTATATTCTTGGGCAATGCAGACATGTAATTCTCCGAAATATAGGAAGCAGTTGAAAGTTTCGCATCAATATGTATGGTATACAACACCAGGAGCTGCGGACGACCTAAAACCTAGGGCTCCGGCTCGAAGCAGGAGAAGGAACGGTGTGATTTTTAGTCAGTAAGAGTCAGCCAGTCCGTCTCACCTCACCCAAGGCGGGAAGTCATTGCATGGTTTCCCCCCTCAAAAAATCAGACATACTACATCAACTCTTTGACATTGAAAGTGATTAAAGGCATGGCAGTTGTCATGACTAATTAGTCAAATCTTCATAGAGAAAATTCAAATCAAAATTACTCAGAAAAAGCCACCTACCAAATACCAGTGGAATGGCAATTAAAACCAAAAACAGGTTGAAATTTTTAAGCAATCTTTTCGGAAATGATATCATAACGATATGAAAGGGATTGTTCAATCAGTGTGAGAGTATGTACTCTCGAAACACGCAACGAATGTGACAGTCAAACGTGTTGGTTAATCCCGTGCGACGTAAGCTGATTTGATTGGCTAATGTAGACAGGCCGGCTCACCCGGTCCGTTGATAGGTTAAGCTGATACTCCAGTCTATTGAAATTAAGCTGAGTGCGAAGTGAACGTCTGGTTATGTCCAAATCAAATCAAAAAAATGTTTTTGAGGCAGAGAATACTGGTAGAGGGATCAGATTGTCTTTATACATATTTATAATTAGGGTACATTTGTACTATGATGAAGAAAATTGTCGAGAAAATGTATAACAGGTTTTTAAGATCAGTAAATTGTGTTCATCGTACACCAGTTGGTAGGAAAACGTTTTTATGAATATGAATTGTTAGTGTTTTCAGTTACCTTCATCACATTCCGTTTTTCAGTAAACCTTTTAAACATTTAAAACGTTGTTCGCTTCATTTTTTCATACGACACGATGAATGTTTCATACGAAAATTGTTTGCGATATCAACGTATGTGTATTTCGTTGCCGCCGGCGCCTAGGGCTGCCAATCTCGACAAAATTTACGGTACGGATCCCATCCCAGGAGTGTGGCATTTCATCCGGACGGAATTCAGTTTTCCCACAATTTGAACAATTCTCTCTCACCCTGATATGTGCCAAGGACGTTTTTGGTAAATCGATACTGTGAGACCTAAAAATAGGTCGTGCGTAACCTGTACCACTTTTTTAGACTAAAATGCGGCAGGATATATTATGGTGATCTTATGAAAGAAATTTACTTTTTAACTAACTATGATCATAGGACGTTAGATCCACTAGACTAGATAGACTATAGAGGGACATAATTGTGGACGTTATTGCTTTACTAAATAGTTAATTTCAGACGTAACTCTACAGAATATAAACAAGCTTGCAAAATACAGATATTTTGGTATGAAGTTCGTAGGTTCCTTCAACGACAACGAAATTTTCACCAATTTTCGTATTAGTTCCGTGTAACACGAGACTAAACAAATTCAGACTTTGTTCTTTGAAGATTTCTTCAATTCATACCTTCACGAATCGTGCATAGAATTCAGTTTTAAAGCTCGTGCTTAGGGATCCATTGAAATAGACAGGAAGATTAATTAGATATAAAAGTCCAGTTAATATATATACAGCTATATTAAATACTTAACCATCTTCATAAAAAACGAAGCGATACCGACTGTATCTGAACCCTACATCGGTCCGGTTATTGACCCGGCCGGAGGGTGAATATCTGAAAAGTATGCATTGCAGAGTGTATCACGACTATCGCGCTTAAAACAAAATCATGGCGTGTTAAAAGCAATGATTTTATAACCGATTGAAGCAATTTCCAACGTTGTGCTGTTATTTTTTGAAGAGTTCCGTTCTGTGTCTTCGATATTTTTTACGTTGAGTCTGCAACGAATTGGTACACGATAGACGTGTTGTTTTATTCTAATTGTTTGGAAATTGAGAAGTAAAATAGACGTATTTCGAAAGAAATCTTTCAAAAGGCTTAATTAATAACTGAAAGCACAATAGTGTCGATTAAAATAAAACAAGTAATTGTTCGCCCAGGTAATTTTAGGTATCATCACACTACAAAATACTAAGGCACCTAAGTCTAAGAATCCATTACGATTTTCTCAATTATACTTTGCCCTTGAGCGCAATGTTATAAATCCAACAATATTGTACTAAACACGAAAATATTCCAAGTTTAATATGATAAGGAGCTGACAGCCAACCCTAAATAGTTGTGCAAACATAATATCATAATCAAACATTTAATATTTGTGTTTGTTTGCGACGTAAAAGCCAATGTCGCGTAGTTCGTGTAGTTGGGCGATGACGTAGATCTACGTGGCTGTCTACTAGATGGGGCATAGAAGAATTAGCTAAAATTAACTTTTATAAGAAAAAACATCCTGTTCGATTGCATTGTTACATTCCTTTAAAAACAATGTTTAAAAAAACATACTTCATATGGCAACTCGCAGAAAGCAGGAGGTACAGCCTCCTTTCATAAGGAAAACATCTTGCAGAAGTTCTCGTGGTATCTATTTGAGAAATAACCAACATGATGTTATGTTAAATGTTAATATTTGTTTGTATTCTTTAATGTCGTCTTTACTTTTTTATTGTCTTTATTAAGTTAGAGTATTTTGGTCACACAAATACAATCCAGCCAGGCCCATCATTACCTAAACATATTTAACAAAACTTACACGTCGTCTTTACTTAAACGACACAAATTATCTTGCAATATTTGCAAAAATCACTTTATCCAAACCAAGACCACATCTAGCCAAACATTCATTATTTCATGATCATCCTTACATTCTTTGGAGCCTTTATTCCTATACTGACAAGGTTTAAAAATGCACACGTCTATCGCAAATGCTAACGAAACATCTGGACACTGATTTGTGAGGCTTTTTAGAAAGGACTATGACCTTTGTTGAAGTTTTTTCTAAACTTTTGTCGTATTCTTTGTTCTTTAGTTCTGTTACTTACTTCGTGGGTGTTAGACGGTGTGTATAGAACGATTTATTGATATTTTTATACGAAAATATGAATAGTT